GTAACTCCTATATTTTCAATGTACTGTTAGGTTAGAAATTATCAGGATTTTTATAAATTTTATAATTTTGAGGGTTTTAATTTATAATTTGTAAAAAGTTTAGAGTGTTTATTATAAATTTCATAATTTTTTGGGGGGTTTTTTGTGTTATTTGTAGGTTTTTAGTGTGTTTATAGGTTTGAAATTTTCAAGGTGCTTTTTACAAATTTTGAATTTTTAGAAGTATTTTTGCATTTTTCAAAACTTACAAGATACTTTCTCCAAAGTCAAAAACTTTTAGTTTTTAGCTAGAATATATTTTTCAAATTTCTCACTGAATTGAAATAAGTAAAATTTATAATTTTTAATAAAATTTTGAATTTAAAGGGGTGTTTTTGCAATTTAAAAAACTTAGAGGATATTTTTTACAAAGCCCAAATACTTTTAGGTGCTGGTTATCATATATATTTTTAGATTTCTTTACAAACTGAAGTAAGTAAATGATTTGAATTATATTAAATGTATCTCCTTTATCCAATAACATGTTAAGTCACATTATAAATAGGATAAATTATTTAATTACCAATTCAAAGAAGATATTATAATTAGAATAGATTAGGATAACAATGTAATATTAAAAAATAAGTTAAGGGTAATATTGGAGGATTACCAGAAGATGGATAAAGTTGCTCGACGATGCTCAAATCTTATATAATCGATTTCCTCCATCGGAGGATAAAGCTGCCTGACAATGCTCAAAAGCCGCTCATTCCATCTAGCATGTACTGATTATGCACAAGTGGCCAGTCAATCTGATGTCCATCCTTAAATGTCTTTCTCTCTATTCTTTCTACAATTTGTGGAGCTTGTTGTGCGAAACCAAACTGCCCAAGCACGCGATCCAGCACGTGCATCTCCACAATTTCAAAGCAAATGAGAGGAACACTGGGTGTCCATATACCGTGTCTCTCCATGCAAATTAGTGGTAGACGAGGTACAAAAGTTCTGTATGGCTGCCACTTGAGCTACAAAATATAAGTTATCGTTAGTAACTAGCTTAAGACTTAAATTAAAATTGGATACCCAATAAATTTACATCCGGTCAAGCTCTCATAATTGTCTTGCCGAGGCCTCATCATATGCTTTAGTGATATTCCATCTGCGTGTATGATAGAAGGTTAGATTCTAATTCTAAATTTAAAATTTAAAATTTAATTTTCTTTAATTATATCTAAAATTGTTTACCTGCTGCCTAGTGGAATCTGTCTACCTAAAACTCGTGTCTCGCATACTAGAGTGTCGACTGCACACCCGACTTGCCACGATATATTTTGTAAATTGACCTCTCCGTGTTTTTTCTTAAAATCATCTCTTATATGCCGCAAGCAATACTGGTGATGATGTTTGCTCGAAACCCCTCGCGCAAGGCTCGTAGAATTCCTTTCGTCCGGTCATAAATAAAAGTAATTGTTTTAGGTCTTTGTAGAGTGAGGATGAATCTGTGAATACATTAAAAAACCACTTCCAATTCAATGTATCCTCTACCTCTACAACTGCAAAAGCCAATAGAAATAGACCACAATTTGCATCTACATCGGTTGCAACCAAGAGCACTCCCTTGTACTTGCCGTATAAATGTGTGTCGTTAATGCTCAAGAGCGGACGACAAAAAGAGAACCCTTTGATAGCAGGTCCAAATGCCCAAAATACTCGCATGAACCTTTTTGTTCCCAACACAATCGCTTTAGACAATATTTCGTATTCGGTACCTGGATTTTTTCTCTTAATTGCTTCAAGATATTGCGTAAGTAATTCGTAAGATTTCTCCTAATCTCCAAAGATTTCAGTCAACGCCTTCCTCCGTGCATCATATGCTTTATATTTGGATATAGTTATTTTTCTCATATCATCTACCATTGTAATTATTTGACTTGGAGTAAGATCAAGTTCTCGCCTAACTTCGGGCATATTTAGGTTCAAGATATAAGAGGAAGTTGTCGCCATATGATTGGCATTGATAGCCGGATTGAAAGTTTTATGAATCCACAATAAGACCATCTCCAGCAGGTAGGCAAATTTTTACCCTCTCTCTCCTGCCACATCACTTTATTCTCCCACCACATAATTCAATAATACCCATTTCCCTATCAACTCTGCAGCAGCTAGTTTTTCAGAAAGTTTTTTACTTTATTTGGGACCCACCATAACCATATCATTCCAACATATACACCACCATATATTATTAATTCATTTTTGCTTATTATTTCATATATGTTATTGTTATTATTGCCACTCATATATTTATAATTTTTTATTAAAGCAATAAATAATATATAATATATAAATATATTAATTTTTTTGGTGTCCAAATTATACAAACTTAGTCTCTATTTATAGATCTTGAAAAATAAAGAATAATGGTGCAAAAAAAAAAATTAAATTCAAATTTTTTAAATGCCTAAAACTCAATTTAAAAGAAAGGAAAAAAACTAAATTTGATGGACCAATAAAATCCTGCCACGTCGCGTGTGGCAGGGATTATGGGGGGCTTTTGATTTTTTTAGTTTAATTTAATACAGCTATGGGGCCCACTGTGGCCGATTTCACCATAGGGAAAATTTTCCCCTTCTGCTCTTCTTTTCAATTTTCCCCTCCCCTTTCCCCTCCTGCTGCACCCAAAAGTCCCTCAATTCCCTTCCTGCTACAAGTAGTCTAACAAAAGATCATAAATTGCCCATCATATTTTTTTACTAACAGCTGCATTAGGCTTCCATGTACACTTCGAATTTCTCTCGTCTTGAACACTTGCATACTCTCCTTGAGCTTTCTCATTGAAGTAGCACTTTACATGTTAGTTGGTTGTATTAGTTTTCACCGACTTGAATTTGACCCTATTCTTGATTGATTATTCATTTATAGCAAAAACCAAAGTTTTCTTATTCTCCAAAACATCTTTTTTTAAAGTGAAGTCCCCGGGTGTTCGAAATTAGAACCAAGCTCAACGAACTCAGCTTGTGAGGTATTTATCCACTCCTCATTTTGAAACTCTTCTAGCAATGATTCTTCAGACTCAACATAATTGTTGTTTACACAATATTCATCCATCCAGTGGGTGTCCTCATCGGTTCCTCCAATTGCATACTACATACTATCAAGACATTCATCCTCTTCAACATCTTCATAATCGTCATTTACCTATACATCCTCATCCTCTTCTATAATAGAACCAACCGATAAATTAAGGGTTTTTTGCAAAATAAACTTTTTTTTGCTAAATAATTAGCAAAATAGACCGTTTTACTAAATAATTAGCAAAATAGACCTTTTTTTGGCCAACAGGCCAAAAAGAGCTTGAATTTGAAAAACAACTCAGAAAACATACGGGACTACTAGTCCCGTATGTTTAGAGCCAACTTAATCACGGATTAGTGAACTCAGAAAATTTCTCAGAACATCGAGATGAACTCAGAAAACATACGGGACTAGTAGTCCCATATGTTTTCTGAGTCACTAATCCGTAATTAAGTTGGCTCTAAACATACGGGACTACTAGTCCCGTATGTTTTCTGAGTCTTGTTTTTCAAAATCGATCTCTTTTTGACCAATAGGCCAAAAGATGTCTATTTTGCTAAATATTTAGCAAAAATGACTATTTTAAAAAATTTCCCGTAAATTAACTAAAACATGACCCTAAGTGTTGTGGAACACGTCACTTGACATTGCACCCGAGTCATTTTCTAAGTGTAAGGCACTTAGAGATGAAATAAATTCGCTCGAGTTATTTTCTAAGTCAAGCATGCAGGAGAACTCTCCAGGAGCATATAAAACTTGGGCAACATCGAATATTGAAATATTTTCAATGAACAACTCGATTGAGATTTGGTTTTCCGTAAGTTGTATCATGTCACTCAATTCTTGATCATTGGTGATATCTAAATTATTTGTTCTTTTTTTATTTATCAGACAATTACAGAAGACCTTAGTGACATACTCTTCATGATTAACTCTAGTAACTCTGCATATTTACTACATCATTCCATCGAAGTTGAAATTTCTAGATAACATGAACATTTTTCTAGATCCTCCTTCGTATATAGGCATATTATTCATTCCAACACTTAATTTCCCATTGAATAAGCAAATAACTGGTATTCCATTTGCCATTCGAACTAAAATATTAACATTTATCATATGCAAATTATTTATCAAATTTTAATCAAACAAAATTTAATCTATCACAATTTAACCAAATCCCATTGTTTATCATAATTAAAAAATATATTCTAAATATACAGTTATTTCCAAACTACAATTTTAACTAAATAATAGAGAGAAAATTAGAAAAAATTTAAAATTTATACCTTGATGAAGATCTGAAATTCGTATCGACGTCAGAGAGGATAGACAACGTGGACTTCAACAATGCTGGAGTGAACTTTAGGGAAGATCTCTATTTGGGTTTGGAGAGAATGAGTTTGGTGAGAATAAGAGAGAGAGAATTGAGGGGAAAAGAGGTGATTTTGGAGAGAATAAATGGAATAGGGTTAGGGTTAACGAGGGAGAGAGATTGGGAGAGGGTGGATGAAAATCAGGTTCAGAGAGGTGAGAGATCTGGAGGGATAGAGAGAGAGGAGGATGTGCCCTAATTTTTGGGCACAGCTGGGCTTATATAGGCCCAACAAATCCACGAGACTACTAGTCCTGTGGAATTGCTGGGCGACAACGTCCATCTTGTCCGAGTCTCTAGTTAATGCTAGGACTAGTAGTCTCGTGCATTTTGTTTGGGCGTTTAGGAAACCACGAGACTAATAGTCACGTAGGTTTTCTAAGTTCAGATTAGTGGCTAGTAATTGGCCACTAAACATATATGACTATTAGTCTCGTTTGTTTCAGAATCCAATCTCTGCAAAACCGACCTTCTTTTTGTCCCGGTTTTGCTAAAAAATTAGCAAAACGGTCAGTTTTGCTAATTATTTAGCAAAAAAGTACTCTTTTGAAAAATAAAAAAGAAACTCCTCGTTAATGTACCATCCGGCGGTCCTGAGCTCTCCCCCCCTCGAGCTCCAAAATTCAAAGCAAAAATGGAGAGCGCCATCTCCACCTTCTGCGGATCCCTGGCCACATTCTGCAACCACCTCGACTCCTCCACTGAAGCTCTCTCCGATTCCATCCAAAGGAGGCCCGTTCCCCTCGGTAACTCTCTCTCTCTCTCTCTCTCTCTCTCTCTCTCTCTCTCCCTCTCTCTAAAAAAGTCAAAAAAACCCTAGGCTAATCTCTTTTCACTCCCTCAGATTCCGCTGCTTCCGCCTTCCTGCAGTCCCTCGATCGCCGCATCTCCTCCGCCAGCGCCGACCTCAATCTCCTCGAATCCATGGCTCTCGGCACCGTCTCCTTCGAGGAGCTGCTCGGCCACTGCTACGAGGTCTACAATACCAACCAGAAGTACATCACCGACATCGAAGGTCGAATGAGTAGCTTCGGCTACGTCCCTGGTAAAATCCAGTCGCAAACCCTAAAGTTCTGTTCTTTTGGTTGGGTTTTACTTATTGGTTAATTTTGAGTAGAGGCGGAGGGGGATGATGATCCCGAGTTTGCGAGTCCTGAGATTGGATCGAAAAGGCTGGACTTTGATTGTGCGTCGGTTTCGGGTGTGAGATCGAATAGGAAGAAGCTGGAGGAGGATCTCTTGTATCCGTTGCTAGTTTGTATACTCTGAAGTTATTTAGTAATATGGATTTTTTTTATGGATTTTTTAATTTTTCATATGCAGCTTGTTTACTAAGATAAATTCAAATAAAAGTTTGAAAGTTTTATTTTGTCCATGGTCAATGGACTTCCTAAAGGGGGGTTAGTCATCTAGAACTTAAAACTGGAACTGGGATAATTTGTGGGATAAATTTTTAAAGTGTTAGTCACATAGAACTAGGAAATGAGATATTTTTTTAGTGGGATAATTTGTCACATAGAACTAGGAAATGAGATAATTTGTCACATAATTTGTGGGATAATTTGTGGGATAAATTTTTAAAGTGTTAGTCACATAGAAACTAGGAAATGAGATATTTTTAAAGGGTTAATGACTGAAAAATGCTTATTTTTCTTTCTTTATGATGTTATGAGATTTGAACTTCGACATTTATGATCCTCCGCTAGAAGCTCCACGAAATGTTCCTGATGCAGACGATGACTCCGATAAAGAAGACGAGTTACAGACTCAACGAGCAGCTGTAGGAGCTTGAAGAAATTCTATGACAGATGCCATGTGGGATGATAGAAGCCATGTGGGATAATGGAAATCGAGTCACTCTAGGGATTTAGATTTTTATTTATTTGTAAATTTTTTTATTATTTGAGATGAATAGTGATGCTTTATTGCATTATATTTTATAGTTATTACTAGAATTTGCTTATCAACATTATATTATTTTTAATATATAATTATTAACAATAGTAATTTATACCCACCATTACCCCCATCAAATTATCCTACCAAATTATGCAACTTCATAATATTATCCATCATTATCCCACCAAATTATCCTACCAAATTATCTCACTTTAAGAATTACCTATCATTGTTCCACTAAATTATCCCAGTGTCAAAATATTATCCCACTTTACCAATTATCACAGTTCTACTTAAAAAGTTCTAGGTGACTAACCCCCCCTAAAAGTAAAAGATCAATGTGTGAAAGGTTCTAGATTCTGATGTAACGGAAAAAAGAACTACATATATTTGGGGTTCTCAATTTCCATATATGCGATTACAAAGCAATTTTTGCTCCAAATTACTTTTTCAAATTCAGTTACCTTTACTTATTTATCATGGCTGTGTTCCCGGCTGCATCCCATTTATATGTGCATTCAATTTATGTGTTTTGATTGAGATATGTAGATTTTTGTATTTCTTAATGCTTCTTAAGATTTGAGGACTCACTCTCACTACAGAACCTTGGCCTCTCAGATGCTTGTCTTGCAACTTTAGCCTCCGAAGGTGTGGATCTCCTACAAACTTCTCTCATGTCAGTATGTTATTATTGCAAACAAAGTAATTATTTGTCATAGATATTTTCACCGCTTCTACATGCACATATAGGTAATTTATTTTTGTCAGTGCAAATGCAACATCATTTTTTTCTTGTTGCGCCTTTTATTTCCGTGCTTGATTATAACTTCTTGTATATAGTACGATGGGCTTTATGGTAGGTCATGTGTGATTAAATTTAACATGCTCCAGAGCACACACACACCCGCGTGCGGGTGCTCCTACATGGAGGTAGGTGAGCAGCAATGGGTTGGTACATATTCATTCGCAGTTTTAATTTCTGGGTGGGTGGGTGGGTGGGTGGGCGTGTGTGTGTGTGTGTTCATGTGCTTACATTTGAATTTATGATGGTTAAAGGTATTTCATGTTCACAAAGATCACTTCATTGAAGTAATGTCTATGAGGGAATTGCTTTAAAACTTACTTGATTTTGTCCCACTCTGGTTAAAAATCTTGGCTCTGCCCATGAATGAAAACATATTTTATGAATTATGTGAAGTTATGGTAGCTAGTAAACTAATCGGCATCTCTTCTTTCCAGTCAATGATTAGTTCAGCGTGTCAGTTAATATCTTTCGCAGTTACGAACTTACACTAATCTAAAAGTTTTCCCCCTGTTTTTACAGTTGTTGGTTGCTTCTTTACTTCTTTCTCTTCTTTGTTTTGCAATGTTTCCCCTCATATTACACATTCTGTTTAGTCACGATGAACCTTTTTATTCACAGCTTCATCCCTACTACCGATGGATGCTTTGACTGCACAAGAATCCAAAGTGACAGACGGAGGTGCTACTAATATGATTATTAAGATAGTGAAAGATGATTATGATAGCCTTCCTTCTTACATGAAAAGTTTGGCTTCATGGGAGGTACATGTCTAATCTTGTACTTCTAGACGTGTTTTCTTTCATCGTGTCAAAGAAAAAAAGTTAATGACATGGTCTATATATTAATAATTTAATACTGTTGATGTTAAATAATCACACAGATAAGTTAGTCAGAATAAGGTTGCAGGGACCGCTAACTTATCTGAATATCTGGTTTTGAGTAGAGTTGTTCTTTCCTGCACGTTCAACAACTCGTAAGAGGGTGGGGCTGCTCAAACTCAAAAATCGGACGATCAAGTTAACTAGTTACTTGAGTGCAAGGTTTTAAATATCGGATGTCGGGTTCATGTCGCTCGGCCAAAATTCATGTCGGATAGCGGAAATCAGGGATATATCGGGGGACATGAAAAAAATATCGGATTGTCATATCGGATAGGTTGATATAATATCATAAATGAAATCTTCACATACTTGATAATTATATTGTCTAAACATATGAAAAAGTACATATGAGAAGGTCTTCATTTTCACAAGCAACCACCAAGTTTTTGCTTTTGCATAGAAAATCAAAGACACTAGAACAGCTTAACTGTATATGTTTAGACAATTCTTATTAAAGTATAATAATTATCCAGAATATAAAAATTACTAATACAATTCTTTATACACAACTTTATTTATTAATGTAAAGATTTATTAATTGTTCAATTTAAGAATTTATGTTATTATAAAAGTCACTTCATAATTTTACACTCAAAGAAAAAGATTACAAAAAAAATGTTCACATACAAAGCGCGTGCATTATACTAGTAGGAACAAAAAGAAAATTCTACTGAAATTGAAAATTAAACTCGTAATTGCTATTCTAAACTACTTAACTGCATCGACTAACAATTGCAGGATTTTTATTATATATCTGTCATTTCTCCAAACAAGAAACTAGTAAAACCGAAGTATATGTGCACCTAATACAAATAAATTCATGTGTTCTTATAGCCTTCCATTATAAAGAAAACACATGCAATAACAAGTAATTAAAACCTACAACAAGCACCCATATGGGTAGTGGATGGGAAACAATGTGAAACTTTACATAAATAGAAGGTGAAAGATATTACAAATCATATGATTTCAACTTGTCAATGTGAAACCGATATTTCTGAATTTTGGCCGATATTTGATGGCCGAAATGTCGCCCGATATATCCGCTATTTTCCGACATGTCCCCGACATGACCTCAAAAACGCCATACGCATTAAATTCAACAATTTCGTGGCGGCTAGGCTCCGAATCCGCAATATCGGCCGCTATGTCCGACATGGCGGCCGATATTTAAAACACTGCTTGAGTGAGAAAGTATCGAACTATAGCAGTTCTTAAGTGCAGTGGAATGGAGAAAAATGCTGAGAAAATTGCTTACCCCCTGTGTTGAGAATAGTTTCCCCTTTTATGGCAATGAAAGAATGACATTTTGGTCTCTTCGTCCGAGTCAGGGCTAGGGCGGTTGAGTCAGCTTCAACTTTACATGTGTTGGCTGTGGAGTGGGCGTGGTCACTTCAACATTTAATGAGATGGGATAGACGGTGTGCGAAGCCGACGTAGTCAGATATACCATAAATAGTATCGGAGATGGAGAAATGATAACTCTTGTCATGCATTTAATGTGATATCGACGCGCTGTCAGTAAGTTGTAGTCATATTTTGTCTCGCATGGGGGACAGGGAATGTCGAAAGGTACCACCTTTTGAATTGGCTTTTGTGAGATGTCGGCCAGACAATTAGTCGAGTGTGCTTGCGGCGAGTCATCTTCGACGAGGGGGGTCGACAAGTACCGACTCTCGAATCGTCCCCAGCAAGATGTCAACCCGACGAGTCGACTGAATCGTGACTTTGGCCATCTCTAGTGTCAAGTCGGTCGGATTAAACGTGGTGCAGAATACTTATCTGTTGTCAACGAGGGATCTCAATTTGGCGATAGAAAACACCATAATAGTTGACCCTTTTCACTTAGAGTCGGCTTGGGTCGGGTCCGAGTGAAATGAGATTATAGTTTTGGACGGATGCTGATGCGCATTAAATGAGGGAACTGAAAAGTCCCTTCAGATGTAACGTGGCTGACATCACCACACATTCCTTTGACCGCTGCTACTCTGTTTTTTGTGCCGGATTACAGGTTGTTCTAGGTAGGTAGGATGTGCCTTGATCTGGAAGGTGTCGCTTCGAATTCTGAGAGTTAATCTCGACCGTTGGCTAAATTCTGATCCGGCCGCTAAGATTCCGGTAGTTGTGGGTTCAAATGCCTATATATAAGGCTGTGATTGTGAGAGAGGCGCTTGTTGCTCTTTGAAACTATTTGTGAACCAAAGGATCTTTCCGATCACCTACTCCGACGACAATCATCCATTGCAAATGGCGTCTTTCGATCCCGTTGATAGGCAAGCTCTGTTGGCGGGGTTTCACTCTAAAGTAACGCAGCCGTAGATGAGCTCTTTGAAACTATTTGTGAACCTAAGGATCTTTCCGATCACCTACTCCGGCGACAATCATCCACTGCAAATGGCGTCTTTCGATCCCGTTGATAGGCAAGCTCTGTTGGCGGGGTTTCACTCTAAAGTAACGCAGCCGTAGATGAGAGCGCTTCATGAGAGGTTTGACATTCCCAGAGAGTACCAGCTAATGACGCTGACGAGGTCGGAGGCGATATAAGACCATGGACCGGATCGGGCCCTATATCTAAAGCATCTGGAGTTCGGCCTGCATTTGTCCCCGCACCCTTTCCTCTAGCAAGTTTTTGCTGCTCTGGGGGTGTCGTCGGCATAAATGAAGCCAAACACCGTTACAACCCTGATAGGTTTCGTGGTGATTTGCCATTGCCTGGCAGTCAAACCATCCTTGAAAGTACTGGGTTGTCTGGCCAACGTTAAGGTGAACAAAAGCGAGCCCCACTTTCATTTTCGAATGGTGGGCAAGTTCAAGCTCATCACTGGTCTCCCCGACTCGAACAAAGATTGGAAGGAGAAGTTTGTCCGGATCATGGGGGGCGACTTGGAGTTGGGCTGCTCAAATTGGCCTGAGATACGGAAGGAGACGCTAATGGCTAGTGACTTGTCAGAAGCCGAGAGAGATGCCCTAGACCAGATCAGGGCGTATGCTGGCTCGCGCAAAATTGAGCACTTGCTCGACAACTCGGTCTTGCAGGTGGCTAATGTCTCGGTCGTGCCCCCCACTGCCAGGGACCAGGAGAGGGCCTCGACGCTGATCCTGGGCCCAATTGAGGGAGCTATGGCGCCTGTCGCTCGACTTGTCGACCCCCAAGAAGGGCCGTTGGCAAGGCCAGAGAAGCGTCCTCGTCGAGACTC